GGAATTATGTATTTAAAGAGTCAAAAGAATTCCATATGTAGGATGTATATCAAAATGTATAAAGGTGAAAGTGAATGTATAGGCTACAATAATTGATGGAAGAAACTATCCAAATAACATTAAGAAATCACAGAAATGAAAAATATAAGAAAAACGCAAGAGATTTAAAAAAATCGTACTTGAATAGCAGGAGTCACAGAAATAAAAAAAAAAAAAGTGAAAAGAGTAGGGAATGCACATTTAAAGAAAAAAGGACTAAGAATTTTCCTGAATTGTCTCTAAAACTTAATCTAGAGTGTGTTTCTTCAGCTCTCCTAATGAGTTCATAAGCCATTTAACACTCTGTAATTAATACTTCCCAGCAAAACTAACTAAAGATAGAAAACCAAGATGGCGGCATAAGTAAACACCGGAAATTGCTGCCTCACACACCACTACAAAAATACAACTAAAAGACAAAATGGACATCATCCAGAACCACAGAAAGGCTGGCTGAGTGGAAATTCTACAACTAGAAGGAAAGAGAAAAGCACATTGAGACTCAGAGGAGGTGTGGAAGTAAAGTGCAGAGGTACGGAGGCGCACATGGAAAGGGCTGGCAACTGAGGACACGGTTGTCTTTTTCAATCGGGAGGGAGTCTCAAGCTCCTGACTGCTTTGACCTCCAGTTCTGGGCGAGTCTCTGGGGACCCAGACTCATACGGAGAGAAACTGGACTTTCTGACATCTGTCGGAACTCGAGGGTGGCTTTCTCTCAGAAGTGCCTTCAATCATTACCAGGACACTGAGACACGGGGCCTCTTAGGGTAGGACTGAGGAGCAGCCATAGCTGCTTGCTCCGCCCTGTTGATTCCCTGCGACCCCACCCCTCCCAAGCTGTGCATAGAGGCTTTTGCATATGAAAGGCCTGGCCCTTTGCAACCTGAAAATTACCTAAAAAACTGCAGCTGGGTCAGAGAGACCCAGAACTTCCAAAAGAAGGCCCAAGGCCCCACAGCAGCTTGCATTGCTTCACAGCTGGGCCTCATCTGGGCACCTCCAAACCCCAAACAAAGAAGAGGAATCTGCAGATCTCTCCATAGCTCCTGCTGGGTAGCCTCAGGCAGAGGCCAAATTAGCACCTCCTTAGAGATCCAAGAGCCAGTATACTTAGTGGTCAGAGTGGGACCATCTAGATTACAACTCCTCAGATCCATAAGGGACACACTCAGGGGGCAGACTCAGTGAGCACCAAAGCCCTACTGAAGCAAGTCTTGCCCCAGAAGGGTGTCTCCAGCACAGAAGTTCTCCCACTGTAGACAAAGCTGATTCTCACAGTCAATTGGCCTGGAGGTCAATTCCTTCCAGTAATACCTACAACAATCAAAGCTTAACTACAACAAGACTGTGCACAAAGCCCACAAAGGGGTGCACCAAGAGTGTCCACCTCATGTAATTGGGGAGGCTGAGCCACTGGGACCTATAGGACACCTAGCACAGAAAGCCACTCTATCACCACAGGGAAGCATAAAAAATGCGGAGACAAAGAAAAAGGGCACAACTGACAGAAATGGAGGAAAGCAAACTACTGGATATAGAGTTCAAAACCATACTTATAAGGTTTTTCAAGAATTTTCTAGAAACCGCCGATAAATTTAGTGAGACCATCAAGAAATCTATTGAGACCCTCGAGGTTATGAAAAAGGACCGAGTAGAAATTAAGCATACACTGACTGAAATAGAGAATATTATAAAGAGTTCCAACAGCAGACTAGAGGATCCCAAGAATCAAGTCAAAGATTTGAAATATGAAGACGTAAAAAACACCCAACCAGAAAAACAAACAAAAAAAAAGAATCCAAAAATATGAAGATAGTGTAAGGAGCCTCTGGTACAACTTCAAGCGTACCAACATCTGAATTATGGGGGTGCCAGAAGGAGAGAGAGAGAGCAAGATATTGAAAACCTATTTGAAGACATAATGACGAAAACTTCCCCTACCTGGTGAAAGAAATAGACTTATAAATCCAGGAAGCACAGAGAACCCCAAACAAAAGGAATCCAAAGAGGACCACACCAAGACACATCACAATTAAAATGCTAAGAGCAAAAGACAAAGAGAGAATCTTAAAAGCAGCAAGAGAAAAACAATCAGTTACCTACAAAGGAGTGCCCATATGACTGTCAGCTGATTTCTCAACAGAAACTATGCAGGCCAGAAGGGAGTGGCAAGAAATATTCAAAGTGATGAATAGCAAGAACCTACAACCAAGATTACTTTACCCAGCAAAGCTATCATTCAGAATTGAAGGCCAGATAAAGAGCTTCACAGATAAGAAAAAGCTAAAAGAGTTCATCACCACCAAACCAGCATTATATGAAATGCTGAAAGGTATCCTTTAAGAAAATGAAGAAGAAGAAAAAGGTAAAGATACAAATTATGAACAACAAATACACATCTATCAACAAGTGAATCTAAAAATCAAGTGAATTAAATAATCTGATGAACAGAATAAACTGGTGAATATAATAGAATCAGGGGCATAAAAAGGGAGTGGACTGACTACTCTCAGGGGGGAAAAGGGTGTGGAGGGTGCAGGAAGAGACTGGACAAAAATCATACAACTATGGATGAGGACAGTGGGTGAGGGTAAGGGCAGAGGGTGGGGTGGGAACCGCGTGGAGGGGAGTTATGGGGGGAAAAAAGAGGAACAATTGTAATAATCTGAACAATAAAAATTTAATTAAAAAAAGATGATGCTAAATAAAAAAAATAAAGAGGATTTTATTCTTTGTAAGTGAATCCTGGCTAATATATTAATTGCCAGTAGAATACAAAATAATATGTAGCTTTAAAATCAGCAGAAGAAAAGTTAATCTATCCGATAGGAGGCATTAAGGTATAAAATAAATAAAAAAGGGAGAACACAGTATTAGGTGGAAGAAATGCAACAACTCTTAATGTAATAGTACTTATGGTAAGTATAAAGGTATGGTGCATACCATGATGAAGAGCTGTGTAGCAGTATTATGCAAAACTTAATGTCCATATTCCTTGTCATCTGGAATATATCCCAAAGGAATTATTGCATTGGATGACAGATAAGCATGTGTAAGTATATGTATTACAGTATTGTATTTGGTCCTAAAGATATGGAAACATATGTGGTGGTTGAAGTTGGACACTTGGAAGAAAACAACTAGATTTTCAAAGAACCACATGGATGGATCTTCAAAAGAGTGTAGAATGCAAAAAGAACTATATCAATAATGCAATGCCTATATTGATATAAATTAAAAAGAACTCATGGATCACAGTAGACAAAGAAAACTAAATCTATAGCAGTCAGAATTCATAAAGTAGCAGGACTTGCAGTAGCACATTATTTTCTTTATCTATTAATGAGCAACAAACTATCCCATACTTAGTGACTTAAAACAACAACCATTTAGCACCTCACAATTTTATGGGTCAGGAATTCAGACAAGACTTGACTGGATGATTCTTGTACTTCACATAACATTTACTGGTGTGACCAACTGGTATTTATTAGTAGAAGGGCTGGTCTGCAGCACACAGATGGCTTCATTCTCATGCCTGGTGCCTTGGTAAAGGCTGAAAGACTGGACTCAACTGGGACTGTCAACTGGAGTGTCTATGTGTGGTGTGACTTCTCCAGAAAGGTGGTCTCAGGTAGGTGGACTTTTTACCTGGTATCTCAGGGCTCCCATTGAAGGCATTCTAAGGGTAGGAAGTAGAAACTGTCAGTTTCTGAAGGCCTGGGTTTTGAAACTAGCTCAGTGTCAATTTTGCCATATTCTGTTAAAGAAAGCATTCACAGAGTGCACCAAATTCAAAGTAAGGGATATGAATTTGTCTCTTGATGGGAGGGAATAGCCAAGAATGTGCAGCCATATTTAATCTGCATCCTCTGAATAGAACTAAGACATACAGTGTGAATTAGGGAAGAAAGAGAGGATCTGTAACAAAAACTTTCACAGTCTATATTTTATCAATAGTTCATAAATCTTTAGTGCCATACATCAGACACAATAGGGTGGAAGCCAGTAAGATGAAGGGAAAAGTACTGAAATTAAGGACAAAAGGGGAAATAAAATAATATAAAGTGAGAGGGGGCTTGTGTGTACCAATGATGATGTGTACTGGGGACTTCAGAGTGTTCATAGAAGGGTAGGGGATAAGAAATAAAGGTATAATAATTTCTTCTTATATCAAGTTAGAGGGCTATCTCTTTGGACTGCATCACTTTAGCACTTACTAATTTAATTGCATTTAAAATTATGTCCTTTTGAGTTCAAGAACTTGAATTTGTTGTTATCAGATGTCTTCATTCCTTTGAAAAGATGTGCTCTATCATCATTCATGGTTGTTGTTTTTTTAATTTGAATCACTTAGAAAAGAGAGGAAGTATGGGGAAATGTGTGTGTAGTGTGTGTGTGTGAGCTGGGGCAGCATTTATTATTTCTTCCTTTTTAATTGTAAACTTGGCATTAAAATCTGCCAAGGTTTTCTCAGGGTGAGGCTCTGCCAGCTGTTGAGAGGAAAGAAAACTCTTCTATTTCCAATTTGATTTTTACAGAATATTTTGGCCTTTGGCAACTAAAACTCTCCTCTCTTCCCTAGCTCTAAAGAGGCAGCTCTTATCCTTTAAAAATAATTTTTAAGGCTCCAAGTGTCAAGTGTGAACAAGTTTATCAAACTAAATACATTAATTTCAGTTGTTTACATTGTTCATATCTACAAAAGAAAATATCATAACTTAGTTTATAAATTTGAACATTTTAAAGATGGATCATTTTTGAATCTGAACTTAAAAAGCAGCAACACTGTGAGTGCCTGACCATAGTTTGTTCATCAATAATTTATCAGTAATCAGAATTGCAGGCTGAGTCCCTTGAGCACTTGGAAGTAGGGAAATGAGACTGCCTGCTCAGAATGAAGCAGTTAGGCCCCCATCCTGGGGCACAAGATTTCCAATCATGACTCAGGGGCAGCGCACATGCCAGGTGCAGAGGCCGGCCAAGGGAAAGACACTGTGGTGGCAGAGGCCTGGGAGCGAACCATGCCGAGGCCAAGGAAGGGAGGCAGTGGTATTACCCCTAAGAAGGCACACATTGTGCAGCAGCCAAAGCTCAAGCAGGACCTGGAAGTCAGGTTCCGGAAGATTAAACGTGATGTGTTGGTGAAAGCCAGCACCAACCTGCCCAAGAAGTTGGCATTGCTGAAAGCCTTTGCCAAAAAGTAGGCAGCCTCTTCCTCCTCCACCAAGACACCTTCCTAAGGACACAGCCCCTGCCTCCATCCTCAGACCTCTGCAGGCTACTCCACGGGCAGCACCATGGACAGAAGGAGCCCTGCTTCCCAGAGCCTTGGGTTGCAGCTCGAAATTTGGGGTGTAGGGTGTAGCCTAGCCTGTGAGCAGATGAACAGCACATCCACAGTGCATGGGGCAGCTCCCCAGGGTGCCTCAGCAATGACTCTGAGGACATGTTCTCCAACTTCCTCTACTCATCTCCCCTCTCAATTTGTATCCACTGGTTTCACCTGGAGCAATAAACCTGGCTTTGTCATTTCAACAACAAAAAGATACTTTAAAGAGTATCTTTTCTAAAGCTTCTAAACTTGCTAAATTTGACTATAATCAGACTAAAGATGTTAATATAGTGAAAAGTCTGTCAGTCAGAGAGGAGTTAATTATCTGTGAAAACATATTAAAAGGAAAGAAGCTTGCAAAGGCACACCACATCATAAAAGAGAAAATCACCAAAAAGTAATGACATGAAAAAAAATGTCTTAAGCATATGCATAATTAGCTAATAAACACTATGATTATAAAGTCTAAAAATCTTAGTCATGTACTAAAGTAAAAGTCATAGAATCATAAATGTTTAGATTTGAGAACGTCAGGGACATCTGGTCTACCTTCTTCTCAATAATTCCCTTTCAGAAACATCCAAGATATTTTTGAAAACCTTTAGTCATGCAGTGATTCTCAATCTTCTGGCCCTTTAAATACATTTCCTCATGTTGTGACCCAACCACAAAATTATTTTCGTTGCTTCTTCATATCTGTAATGTTGCTACTGTTATGAATTGTAATGTAAATATCTGATATGCAGGATGGTCTTAGGCGACCCCTGTGAAATTGTCGTTCGACCGCCAAAGGGGTCGCGACCCACAGGTTGAGAACCGCTGCTTTAGTGTTTGTTCTCTGCCTACTAAATCAATGTGCCCATTGATTTTCAGTTCATTCCTGGCCCACTGTAAATGTAGCACACATAAAACCAACATTTACTCACTAGTTAAAGTAATTGTTTCCTAACATACATGGGGAAATTGTTCATGTAAATTGATAGTAGAAAACAGGGATTCTTTTCAGACTCTTAGCTGGAGTTTTGGATTTGGATGGGCATCTGGAGAGAAGGGTGTATTCTCTGGTACTGACTCTGGATTCTTCATTACTCCTTCCCCAGGCTATGTAGTGGTGGAAGACTAAGTGCACGAAGACACTGACATTGATGAAGAGTAAAGTATCCATCACCCTGGAGTATATATCTGCCTACTCATCATTTGTTTGCCATCAACTCTAAGGAGCATGATGCTACTTGTTTTGCATGATCATGTCATGTAATTTCTACAACATGCCTTCAAGGTAGGATTTATGATCAGATAGCCTTGGAAATGTTTAAAAAATTGTCCATGATCATAGTTCAGAGCTTGTATTTGCACACACAGTTACCTGGCTCCAAATATCAAGGGTGCACTTAGCTGCCGTGACAACCTCTTACTCAGATTCCTGTCAGTGAAGCCTGGCTCCCCTCTCCTGGCCCACCTGCGTGCCTCCCACATGGCCTCCTAGTTTTCTTCTTGTATAGCCCATTGCAATTCGTGTTAATTGTTAAAAATCCATGCATTTATCACTTATCTATTGCTGAAAAATTAGAAAATACAGATAAACTAAAAAATAAATGCCAAACAAAAATATATTTTTTAAAAAGTAAAACCTTGTAACTTAGTGTAACTTAAAATCTTTAATTTTTATTTTCTCTTTAAAGTTTTCCATCATATAACACTTTTAAGCCTCTTAAAATTTATTAATAGTATTACTTAATATTTTTTAAACAAAGAATTGCTCTAGAACAGTGCTGATAAAATACACATTTGTAAATTTGGAAGTTAAATATAATATGAGCCCCAATACAAGCCACAGATGTACTTTAAATGTCCTGGTACTCTCAATGACACAGTAAAAGAAAACAGGTGAGAATAATTCATCTTAATAGCATAGTTTATTTATAACCCAATATATTAAAATATTATGTTAATATTTAATCAAATGAAAATTAAGGAGATATGTTACATTCTTTTTTGTAATGTCTGTTAAATTTAGAGTATATTTTACATTTACAGCACATCTTACTTTGAACTTAAGACATTTCAGGTACCCAGCAGCTAAGCAGCTACATGTAACTAGTGTCTATTAGTTTGAAAGTCACAACTCTAGACATTAACAACTGTGGTGATAATAATAATTAGCCTTACAGATTTAAGATTTAAGTACAGATTATTATTTTATATATTTTTAATTGATTTCTGAGAGGAAAGAAGAAGGAGAGAGAGATAGAAACATCAATGATGAGAGAGAATAATTGTTTGCTGCCTCCTGCATGCCCTCCACTAGGGACTGAGCCCGCAACCTGGGCATGTGCCCTTGACCGGAATTGAACCGGTGACTCTTCAGTCCACAGGCCGATGACACTAAGCCAAACCTGCTAGGGCTTAGGTACAGATTATTAATCTAAACTTTTAAAAAATCTAGGTTTAATATAATGTTTTTCTCTGTATTTCTGTAGGTGTGTATGAGCAAATTGGCTTTGGTTAGAAATCCAAGTTAAGGTCAAGCAGAAAGGTAACTAATTAGTCTCAATAAAAAAAATTAACCTGGATCATTACTTACTGATTACATCATGACAACTATATCATAATATTTTATATTTTGTTCTTTGATTGATTGGTATTCTAAACTTTGGTCTTTTAACATAATGCTCTAATTTGCCCACCTGGTTTTGAATAAATTTCCAACAGAACACTGAAAAACTTTGGTAGACTGATTAATTATTTGTATGAGATTACCATTTTTTGTTAGGAAACCACAGGTTAGTGGTGTCTATAATAAAAATATGAGGCAGATATAGAAGAGAAAACTTGGAGATATGCCAATATCCAGATTTCACTTAATTTCATTCCATCACAAAAAGACAAAGGACTGGGAAATTTTGTTGGAGTGGAGTGGTGAAGTGAACACTCTCATTTATTAGAGGAGGTCTTATAATGTCATTGATAGGATTTATAATTCTGTTATTGTTCACCTATGCAAGTGATAGGACATTTCTTGGGGCAACTTGGAGTGCATTTAATTCATCATTATATTCTCTTTACATGATATATTGGGGAATGAGTGAATAACAATAGTAATTAATATGTAGCTATATCCTTTGTTATAAAAGACAACAAACAAAATTTTCACATATTAAAATATGACCTGACTTTAAAAATGAAAATATAAAAACAAAGAGAAAGAGACACATACTATATACACACACAAGGAGTAAAAATATGAGACTAATGCTCCAAAAGATTCCTTCCCTGAAAGCCCCAGAGAGAAGAGAAAACCTGAGTTCAGTTGAGAAACATTTTTATTTTTTTTCTTGTTTATTGTGTGACCCTAATTTTAATTTAAAATTATTTATGTTAAATATTAATAAAGGCAACAAGACACTAAGAGTAATATATCTAATTAACACATGAGTTATTTTAAATATTTTATCAGATTGTGTCAGAGTCAGTGTTCTTATGTATCAATCAAGTCCATACATGATTTAGATTAAACTGGTTGCCTTAATCAGTCTTTTTATTACCATTAAACAAGTTTCAAAGTTTTTTTAATCAGCTAAAATATTTAATTGAAAAATATCCAAAATGAATGCTTATTGTACCTCTTCTTAAATCCAGCAATCTGTTCGGAGCCTTGAATTTACCTATTCAGATTATTAAAATGTTTTATGTTTAATGAAACCAAAACAATAAAGCACCAACATTAATGAGAGCATTTTCCTTAGTAGAGAAGTTCAGGCATATTTACTAGGATTTACTATTTACCTTGCAGTTTTCCTATAACAAAGATATCTCAGCCTATTTAGCTCATTAAGAAAAATTGGATTTGTTTTTTTTATCCTGCATACATTGAGACTGTTTCTCCCACTTCAGAAGATGTCTACTGGCTGAATAAAGCTGATGAGTCTTTTGGTTTTATGTTTTATAGTTACAGTTTATGATTAGAGGAAGAAAAAGAAACAGGAGACTACACAAAACACTGATCTGGCAGAGCTCAAAGGGAAAACAGCAGAACTCTGCAAGAGGAGCACAGGAAGATATTGAGAATAAAATACTAAAATAAATTATAATGAATTTAAAAACAAATATAAATATTTTGAAATGATTCCTAAAACTGCTTTTCTTGTGCTGCTAAGGAGAGGAATTTGCATTTAGTAATGTTTTCACTCTCTCTTTCTTTATATTACTCATTTGCTCTATGATCTACATGACTACAGAGATTACTGAGTAACCACAAATTGCAAAAAGTCTTGCATGAATAGTTCTGCCAAAAATATTTCTTCAAGTTATACAAAAGAAAAGTTTTAAGTTTGAATACACAGTAAGCCATGATTCTTAGAATTGTGTTTCGTGGAACATTACTTAAAACTTAAAAAAAAAAAAAAAAAAGAATTCCTTGGTGAAACTTTTGGGAAATGCTGCAAATATTTCTCTTGGAGATTTAGAGTGGGCTTTTTTATATTAAAGTTCTGATAGATCCTACAGTGCAAACTTTGTATAAACCAATATTTTCCAAATTTATTTCAACATGAAGCCTTTTTAAAATTTAACATCTCGTTGAATTGTTAAAGGGAAAAAAAAATATTTGGAGAAATACTAATGTGGAGACTGATAATATTTGCATTGGTCACAGCTCCAAATCTTTGAGATTTCTAAATTCATAAAACCCAGAAATTCAAGAACTAAGAAATAGGTGTGTGGTGATGTGCAAGGCTAGCTAAATACCTTGCTTGTCAAAACCAACATCATAGCCCATGAGATTCAAATTCACGCTAGATGCTTTTACTAAAAGATCGTAATTTCTCCAGATTCTTATGTCTCAGAACCACCATGTGTTGGTATGTCTTTATT